TATGTGCCTCAGTGGCCTAATGGACAAGGCACTGGCCGGCTAAGTTGGGGATTGTGGGTTCAAGTCCTGTCTGTGATGACAAAGAGTTTACCTTCTTCTGCTTTCTGAAGTAATTGGCAAGGATGCTCCACAGTTGCTGTCTCCCTTTCTACAGGAGCTGTTCAGACCCCTCACTAGCAAATGCTGGTGCAGATCTGAGCACTAAAAGCCCAGGTATTCAGAGTGAAGGGGAATGTTTTGCCCTAGAAGACCCAGGAGTAACAGGCAGAGAAAGGTGGTTGTGGCAGAGCAGGGTCTACCTGGAGACAAAGTGGAGCTGGGGGATGAGAAGGCACATGACAGACAGTGTGTAGTCAACCTGTGGAACTCCTTGCCAGAGGAGGCTGTGAAGGCTAGGACTATAATAGAGTTTAAAGAGAAGCTAGATAATTTCATGGAGGTTAGGTCCATAAAAGGCGATTAGCCAGGGGATAAAATGGTGTCCTTGGCCTCTATCAGAGGCTGGAGAGGGATGGCAGGAGACAAATCGCTTGATCATTGTCTTCAGTCCACCCTCTCTGGGGCACCTGGTGCTGGCCACTGTCGGTAGACAGGCTACTGGGCTAGATGGGCCTTTGGTCTGACCCAGTATGGCCGTTCTTATCTTCTTATGATTCCCTGCCCATCCTGTGATGCTGGGTTTGAGGCTGGGAGGGCTGTGGCTCTCTCTCATCTTCACTCCTATCTCCCCTAGATGTGAACGAGTGCTCCTCAGAGCCATGCAAAAACGGAGGCACCTGCCTAGACCTGAGCGGTGACTATGCTTGCAAATGTCCCTCTCCATTCCTGGGGAAGACCTGCCATGTCCGTAAGTCCTTCATTGTGACAGGTGGTTTTATACACCCCATCCTCTATACACACACGTGTGCACACACATACATACACACTTCCTGATGCCCCTCTCTGCTCTCAGCAGTACCAGCGAGCACAAAGGGAGGCCTCATGGGTTGTGGTTAGGAAAAAACTGAGGTTGATGACTTTTGAAGCTGCTCAATAGTCATCCATGAGCCCGTTGACTCTGGAGAGCCCAGTGTGAATGAAATTAGTGCTGGGGAGGCATCCCGGAGAGAGCACTGAGTCCCTTATGGAGGACCTCCTGCTTGCCTCATGACTCTGGGATGGTCCCAGATGCTGGGTCACAAACCCATCCCAGAGGGGACTTTCCCTCTTTGAATCTCCATATATCTTGTTGCTGTGATGGGACAGCCGTGATGGCTGGGTAGTAGAAAAGAGAGCTTCATACAAGGAGCATTCCCTCTTCAGGCTGTCCAGGCTTATGATGGTGGTGAAAAGAACATCTTCTCTGAGAGCGTTCAAGACCACTGTAGACCAACTGTGTCTCAATAAACTTGGTTTGGGAAGTGTTGAGGGCACAACTATGGGAAGGGGTTGGGGTGAAGCCAGATTGGCTGGGGATCAGGGAGAACTAGCCATCTTCTTCATCTTAATGAGGCTCCAAACCAAAGCCCCAAGTGGCCAAAGAAGGTCCCTGATCTGATCTAGTATCCTTTTCATTCCCATGAGACAAGAGGTGTCTCCAGAGAACTTTAGGAATACGATGGTGAGAGTGTTACATTCTTTTTCTCTCTTGTTCTTGTTCTTCCTTGGCTGTGTCTACACTGGGCCACTTATTCCGGAAAATCAGCCGCTTTTCCGGAATAAGCTGCGAGCTGTCTACACTGGCCCTTGAATTTCCGGAAAAGCAACGATGCTCTACTGTACAAAATCAGCCGCTATTCCGGAAAAACTATTCTGCTCCCGCTCGGGCATAAGTCCTTATTCCAGAACACTGTTCCGGAAAAGGGCCAGTGTAGACAGCCCAGTAGTCTTTTCCGGAAAAAAGCCCCGATCGCGAAAATGGTCTTATGACCGGCTGAAGTTCTTTAAATTGTGCTTGGTTCTGTTACAGCAACTGAAGGAGTCAGGTTAAAGCTTAAACAGTTACTATTTTATTGTTACAGGGTAAACTTAGTTGTTAAATGCTACTACTGTGTTACAGATAACACAGACACTACAAAGGACAGGACAGAAATTACACTAATAAGTCACTTACAGGTACCATGAAAC